ATCTTGCATTTTACTTAGAAAGAAAACACTTCAACATCTAACTAATTTCATTTTTAGCAAGAGTTTTATCAGCGGAACTACTAATGACGTCACTTCCTGTAGAACCATCACTCTTATCTTTGGAGTTGGAGGGTGGAGCCCAGAGAAGACTTGGACCAATACAAATGGCCAGACTCTGTGCAGTCATCGAAGACTCGGCCTGTAACTGGTCAATCCTTTTCAATATGCAAATGAGCTGACTGGTCAGTTGCTGATTGGCTGGCAGCAGTCTGTTGTACAGCCTTCAATGACGAATTAATTAACTTGAGAATAAAAACCTCGCTAAAATTCTAACAACAACAACAATAACAACAACAACAATAATAACAGCAATAACAACAACAACAATAATAGCAATAATAAAAACCTCTTGCACATGGCTACGACACCGTTCTTATCATCATCAGCATTCTCCCTTGTAACTTTAATCCATTGTTCATAGAGACGACTTTCTAGCAGACAATCTGGTAGGCTTCGTAAAAACTTCTAAAAAAAGTAGCAAATTTAATTTTTTTTCATGATGGAGTGATAGGAATAGTGAAGGAATGAACTAATTTTTGATGTGTTGATTGATGGATAAGCTGATAAATGAATGAATGCATACTTTCATAATGCTGGCAATGACAATGGCGGGCACGTCATTGAAGTTGACTTTAGTGCCGGTATCTAATTGGTCGGTTATCTCTTTAACTTTAAGGTGATTGGCTGACTTTCGAAAGATACCGTTCGTCAGTGGACCAATCACAAACAACCTGTCCAGCATCTCCTACAAGCATCATCACAGTTTTATTTAGTTGCACGGTATCGTTATTAAATTATACATAAGTATACATCTAAATTATAAAGAGATCGATAGATCGCAACAGCCATAATAATGAAAATGAATGAAAATAATTAAAAAATAATTAAAAAAATTTATGAAAAATAAAAACTGACCCTCAGATTGTAAGTGAGGTAGCCATCGGAATCGCACAAAGAACTCAAACACTGGCCAAAGAATTTTGAATTGTTTGCAATCCTCGAATGTTGTGGTTTTTTGAAAAAGTTCTTAAAAATTTTTCTTTTCAATTTAGCGTTACTATTGCTACTACTGCTGCTGCTGCTGTTGTTATTGATGTTAGTGCTGTTGTTGTTGCTACTTAATGTCGGCGCCAGTTGTTGATGCAATGAGGGTATTGATTGTTGTTGTTGTAGTTGCTGATGTAGTTGTTGCTGGGATGTTGACGAACTTGCTGTATCTGAAAGTCGAAGTTATTGCAGACAATCAATCCATCAATCAACAACCAATCAACCAACCAATCAACTAACCAAATCAACCAACCATCTAACCAAATCAACCGACTAACTAATCAAATCAGCCAGCCAGTCAACTAAGTAACTAACAATCAACAAAAATCCTCCAATAGACTGTCCACTCATTCAATCAATCAAACAGCTAACCAATCAATAAACCAAACAACCAGCCAACTGACCAACCAACTGACCTAATTTCAAAGATTTTTTCCTATCTCTCAGATGAAAAGTAGGTCGACTTTCGGCCACCACTATCTTATCAGTACTTCCTTTATTCCATTTCTTGAGCTCTTGTAACTGTATGTTGAACGGGTACTCGTGACCTAGATACATGTTAATTACATTATTAATTTATTCAATTGTGACCCAATTATATGTTTAACTGTTTTATTGATTAAGTCATTCTCATATACATACACATAAACTCTATTATTAATTTATTCATTTGTGACTAAGATACATGTTAATTAGGTCATTTGTTATTATTAATCACGTGATATATATATATATATATATATATATATGTGTGTGTGTGTGTGTGTGTGTGTGTGTGTGTGTGGGTGTATGTGACAAAAAATAAAATCACGTGAAAATGACCTAATAAAGGGAAAATGACGTCATCGTTCTCGCTGATAACGCACAGTTGAAAATCTGCACTCTGGCGATTCTGGACAAAAATTAAAATTATTTATTAATAAATAAATGAACAATAATGATTAATGAACAATAAAATATTTTATACGTATGTATTTATGATGTGTATATAAGTGTGTATGTATGTACGTATGACATGTATGCACGAACGTATGTATGTTAAAACCAAAAAATAATGAATGACACTGAACAGTCAAACATCAAGGCAAATTGGCAAAAATTCCATCGAGGGGAGAGCGTTTTCATGTATGTATGTATGTATGTATGTGTGTGTGTGTGTGTGTGTGTGTGTGTGTGTGTGTGTGTGTGTGTGTGTGTGTGTATGTATGTGTGTTTGTATGTCATCATCATCCTCGTCATCATCATCATCATCGGCATTTCAATCAATCATCATCATCATCGTCGTCATCACCTCGATCCTAAGCTCCTTTACTAGTCTTTCGACAACTGAGGTACAGCTTTCATCATTTCTAACCTGGATTATCTTACACTGATGATAATGGCAATTATTATCATTTATTATTATTATTATTTATTGTTATTATTATAATTGTTATTATCACGATAACGACGATGATGATTGGACAGATAAATAAGTTAAAACACTAAACAGATGAACGATAGAAACAAAAATATAAAAGATGATTAAAACATGATGAACCAATGAATAAACCGTCAAATGAAAAGAAAGAGTGAACAAAAGCGAACGAATGGAGGAAAACAAATGGAATTATGCAAAACGAACGAACGAACGAACAAACGAACAAACACAAATTTACAAACCATAGTAGCATCAGTGAGTTTGGCCTCGACTTTCATGTACACCGATGTTTGTAAATCGAAACTTTTTTCATACTGTATCTGCCTAAATGTACAAACATACATACATGCTACATACATACATACATACATTGATACATACATACACACTACTACTTTCTAGTGGTTAAAACCATACTCGCATTGATTAATTAGTGTAATGAAATTGGATACTTAAAGACGGAGAAATAAATAAAACAGAAAAAAATATTATGACTAATAATTTCTTTAACTGTAATTTAATTCTTCAGTACACAGCGATTTTTTCAAATTTTAATTTAAAACCAATTTTTTAAACTGCACGAGTAGTTGAAGTTAAAAATTCGAAAAACTAACTTTCTAAGTAAATCCTCCCATCTCGTTTTTAAATTCGAACTTTCAAATATAACGTTAATATTGGTCGTCGGCCAGCCAATCACCAGCGTCCTGGCAGCTGACTGGACGCCAGGAGAGGTGACGTCATCGCCGGCCTGACCAATCCACAGTTGGAATGTTTCGATTTTTTCGAGCAAAGTAAAATTAGCGTCTTTTAATCTGTTTTGGAGTAAATTTGTTAAAATGACTAACTAATAAATAAAATAAAATAATTAATTATAAAATGATAAACGGAAAATTAGAAAAAAGAAGTTTAAGATAAAAAAAAGGGTGATTAATCGATTAATCTTACTCACATTCCCCTGGCGATGAGTAAATAGTCAGATAGTAAAAACATGTGCAAATGGGATTGGTTCTGTTTTTAATTGACGGGTCACTCGTTCATTCATTCATTCATTCATTAGTTCATTCATCCATTAGTTCATTCATCCATTCATTCATTCATTCATTCATCCATTCATTCATTCATCCATTCATTCGTTCATCCATTCATTCGTTCATTTCTTGCCATCAAACAAACCAAATTAATTAATTAATCATTAAACGCGCACACAGTTGTCAATCAATCAATCAATCAATCAATCAATCAATCAATCAATCAATCAATCAATCAATCAATCAATCAATCAATCAATCAATCATCCGTCCAACCGACTAACATTAGATATCTGTACAGGAGAGTGAATGAGAACCCTCCTACCATCTAGGCCACTCTGTGATTGGACGGTAAGGCTGACCAATGGAAAATCATTTTATTTCTCAAATGGCAATATCAGTAAATAAGCTTAATATTTATAAAACTAATTATTTAATTAATTAACTAATTAATTATAATAATAATTAATAAAATAATTCTGATAATGAAAAATATAAATTTATACAATCAAAAAAACATAAGACAGACCTGTTATTATTATTATTATTGTTGTTGTTGATAGTGCTGCTAACAGCAATACTATTATTATTGCTAGCATTGGTATAACTACTGATATTGCAACTGTTTCGATTGTTGTTATTACTTACAACATTATTATTATTATTTATATTATTATTTATATTATTATTTATATTATTATTTATATTATTATTTATATTATTATTGTTATTATTATTTTTTGAAGACGCTTTCATTTTCTTGGCGGTCTTGGACTTTTTATTAGGATCAAAAAATGGAGGAGATGATGCTGATGACGATACCTGTATAAGTAACGATGATGATGATGATGATGGTGGTGGTGGTATCATGGTGATGATGCTTGCGATAATGATGTCGATGTTGATTGTTATGATACTATATCTACTAGCAGTGCTTTAAAACATGAGTATCGAAATTTTTATCGACAATACATTTCAAAGCCGGTTAATGAAGATGATAATGATGAGATGAAATCATGAAATACGACACTGGTGATGATGGTGATGATGAAAATGACGATGACTCAAACTCTAGAGACCTGATTGACTAATAGGAATGACAAATCAGAGCTAGGGAACAACTGAAAGAGCCAATCAATGGAGGAGTTTATGTTCCACTCAGCTGCGAGCTGATTGGTTAAAAAAAGTTCAAGTTTATTATCATTAACACATTACGCCATTATCATAATTATTATTACCATCATCATCATAACTATATTATCATCCGACATTATAACTATCATTATCACTATCATCATCATAATCCTCCTCATCATCATAACCCTCATCAACATCATCATCATCATTCTCACCGTCTCCATCTTTTCAAGACAGTTAACTAATTCAGATAAGTAATGATTATGGAAAAGTATAGGCAATGACGACGACGACGATGACGTTGCTGCCACAGACGATTTTGCAGCTGCTGCAGTTGTAGTTGTTAGCACTCTAATTGGTGTCACGGGTACTGATAACGATGATGTTATCGCTGATGACGATAGTAAAGGCGATGATGATGATGATGTTGTTGTTGTTGTTGTTGTTAATGATGATGGTGATGATGATGATAACCCAGCAGTTGCTGAAGTTGATGCTGGAGTTGCTGATGTTGTTAATGTAGTTGCTGATGACGTCGCAATAGTAAATTTTAGCACCAACGATGATGATGACGACGACGATGATGATGATGGCACAGATGATGATACAGACGACAATGGAACAGATGATGATGATGACGACGACGATGATGAAAAATCAAATGATGTTATAACCGGGGATGAGAGTGAGGACGAGGAAGAAGATGATGAAGATGATGATGACAGAGTGATTATTAATTCAGAAGAAATTGTCGTTGCTGTTGTTGTTTTAGTTGTTGATGACGACGACGATGACGATGATGATGATGATAATAACGGCAGTGATGACGATGATGGTGGTAATGATGATGATGATGATGACGACGATAACAATGATAATGATGACGATAATGATAATGATGATGGTGGTGATGTCGAAATGTTATGCAGTATCGATCTTAAAACTGAGATGTAAACTACAAGTCTGTTAAACTATCGGTGGAGGGAGGGAGAAAAATGTAAACAATAAAAATAATAATAACAACAACAACAATAATAATAAAAACAACAACAACGGCAACAACAACAACAACAATAATAATAATAACAAATAAATGATAGAAGCAGCAGCAACAACAACAACGCAATTTAATTTAAATTAGAAACATTGGATGAAAAAGAAAAAAAAACCTCACCAATCAAATTAAGAAATAAAAAAAACACCAACAACGACGACAACAATAGCAACAACAGTAGTAACAACAACAACGACAACAACAATAGTAGCAACAGTAGTAGCAACAACAACAACAGCGGCAACAACAGTAGTAGTTACAACGACAACAACAACAACAACGTAAACAACAGCAACAACAACAACAACGACGACAACAACAACTACACCAATAAAAACAATGTCAAACCGGTAATGTAAGTACACCAGAAAGTTCATGATAATGATGACGATGGTGATAGTTAAGATCTTGTTGTTGTTGTTGATGATGGAGTGACTGGTTTTGATGACGATTAGTGTTGTTGTTGTATTGATGTTGCGCTATATATGTACAGAGTTCATTGTAATCCACAGAGTTTTTAAGCAAGTCTTCATGTAACCTAGTTATACATACAAACATACATACATACATACATTCATAGAAACATACACACATACATACATACATACATACACACATATATACACGCATACACATCGAATTCACACACACATTCACACATACATTCATTCATTCATAAGTACATACAGATAGATGTTACAATAAAACAATACTAGCACAGTACAAAACCTTATAATACATAATACAATACAAAACCATACAATACAATACACAACAATACAATACAACACAATACAAATACAGTACAACACAACGCAATACAAATAAAATACAATAGATTACAATACAAAAACAATACCTTATGTTGTGTACCAGTTCATCGTAGTACCTTGAAGTATCCAATGGTAGAGAATCGTTGAAAACACTTCCTTAATATTAATGGCATTTTGTTAATTAATTGATTGACTGATTGGTCATTTAATTAAGTAATTAAATTAATTAATTACTGATATGGAAAATAACAGTAATTATTTATAGCACATAGAGGTACATTGATGATGACGACGACGATGACGACGACGATGATGATGAAAACGATGATGACATAAAAAGATGGAGACAATGAAGATCATGGTACAAACATATACACAGACACACACATACACAAACAAACAAACACACACACGCGCGCGCGCAAACTTACAAACACACAAACCTACAATCTATATTATTGTTAAATATCCATATATGAGTATTAAATTTTTATAATTATTATTATTATTATAATTATTATTATTATTTACTTAAATATTATTTTCATATTTATTTATTTTAACAATTTTTGTAAACAATTCCATTTCGAAATAGCTCCTGTAGAAGACATAACTAATAACACAGAAACATTCAATGAATGAGTAAATATTTTATGAAAATATTATTTACATATATATATATATATATATATATATATATATACATACATACATATACATACAAATACATATATACAAATACATATATACAAATACACATAAATAGTATGCCGATGTGGTACATGCATATACGCATGCATAGGTACATACACAATTTATTCACAACTTATATAAATAATAACTACACGACACACACACACACACACACACAAACAAACACACACACATATATATATTCATTCACATAATAAAACACATGAGCATTGTCTGTCAAGCTATAATATTAATAGTAAATTTATAATATTACTTCTAAATTGATTCCCATTTCACATACACACACACACATACACACAAACATACACCACACACACACACATGTATGTATAAGTGCTATACAAAATAGTTATTGAAATATAGAGCCATTCAAGTTCCAAAGCCATTGAAGATTGCCATAATAGGTGCTATATATGAGTATATGGTTGACATGTAGTTCTGTGTTGTTGCTATTAGTTCTTATGCTGTACGTGCATGTATGAATCTATGTATGAATCTATGTATGAATCTATGTATGAATGTATGTATGTCTATATCGATATGACTGCATTCTGTCTCTCTCTGTTTCTCTCTCTTTCATTTCTTCTCTCTCTCTCTCTCTTTCAACTTAACAATGGCGGCAATGATAGAAGTAGCAACAGCTGTAGAAAAAGTACAAATGTACAAATAGTAGTAGTAGTAGTAGTAGTAGTAGTAGTAGTAATAGTAGAAGTGGTAGAAGCAGCAGCAGCAGTAGAAGTGGTAGAAGCAGCAGCAGCCGTAGCGGTAGAAGCAGCAGAGCAGTAGTAGTAAAAGCAGCAGTAGTAGTAGAAGCAGCAGCAGCAGCAGTAGTAATAATAGTATGTACAGTGATAGAATGTTAACATTACTATTAGTAGTATTTGTAACAGTGGCAGTAGCAAGTAGCAGCAGTAGTAGCAGCAGCAGTAGTAGCAATATAACTACTAGTAGTAGTAACAGCAGCAGCAGTAGTAATTATAGTAGCAGTAGTAGTAGTAGCAGTAGTAGTAGTAATAGTTTTAAAAGCGTTAGTATAGCTGTGGTGTTTATCAACTCAGCTGATTAGCAAGAGTTTAGAAAAACAACAATCAAACCAATAACAGTACATGAAAGCTTATCAAATGTATCAGTAACTCAGCTTTAAGGGGCATGTAAAATGAAATACATAAGCACAACGCATACGTATGTCTGTTTGTTTGTTTGTTTGTATGTGTGTGTGTGTACTCAGTACAAACATAAGTATGTGTGTGTGTGTGTACGTTTCAGTATGTTTGGTATGTGTGTCTCATACGTACTCATGCATACGTGCAAGCATACTTGACATTGCAACAACCATCAGTAAGGATCAACAAGAGCAAGCAACATCATCATAACATATTTTCAAAGTTACTAATGTGTTGAATGTTTCTGCATGAATGTATCGAAAACTTAAACATTTCATTCATGTTTTTTTGTTTTGTTTGATTAAATAAAAGTGATTTGGGTTGATTTGACAAACATACATACATACATACACTCACACATACATACATACATACGCATACACATACATACCTACCTACATACATACATACATACACATACAAGCAAACATACAATGAAAACCTCATTGTACAGCTGATGGTTTAACAACGTTAAAAGAAGCAAATACTAACAATAACCATTTTATTAAACTGACTTGCCTTTCATTTTATTATTATGAGCCATTAATACTATTATTTTAATTATTAATTGTTATTTTAAGTATTTAAAAACTTTATATATTATATGGATAAATGACATTGCTAGTAACAGTAAATATGTCAATAAATACTAAACATTACTATGATGCATAATTATTATACTATTACATGCAGTATATATTTCTAATTTAGTCTTGTGATCATCATCCTCATCATCATTTCATCAACATCATCATCATCATCATCATCATCATCTCATCAACATCATCATCATCATCATCATCATCATCATCTCATCAACATCATCATCATCATCATCATCATCATCTCATCAACATCATCATCATCATCATCATCTCATCAACATCATCATCATCATCTCATCAACATCATCATCATCATCATCATCATCTCATCAACATCATCATCATCATCATCATCATCATCATCATCTCATCAACATCATCAACATCATCATCATCATCATCATCATCTCATCAACATCATCATCATCATCATCTCATCAACATCATCATCATCATCATCGTGATAATACTTGAAATTAATATTATTACTCTTTTATTAATAATTATTGATATTCATGTTGACACGTTTGTTTGTTTGTGTTTGTGCGCGTGTGTGTGTGCGCGTGTGTGTGTGTATATATGTATGTTTGGATACATGCTATGTCTATATATTTCTCACTATATAATTCATATATCTTTAAACACACAAATACAAAAACATAAATAGATACATCCATATACATACACATGCAAACAAGCAAACAAACAAGCACATAGATACTTACATACATACACGCACTAACTTGCTATAATGAGAGGAGAGAGGGATGATGATGATGACGATATTCTTGACGACGACGATGATGATGATGATGACACCCACTCAATTAAAGATAACTTAAGCTTGAAAAAAATATTTTCAGTTCAACAACATTGACTATTATAAATTTAGATAAATGTTTAAGAGGCATAGTAATAATAAAAATAATAAGATGAATAATAATAATTAATAATTTAAAAATACTGTTTCTATTCAAGTTACTATGCTCACCATTCGACATCTATCAAAAGCTTTTTTCCTGAAATTCACAAAGTCATTAAATAACTTGGTCCTATCTTCTGCTGACGCTGATGTGAACTTTCTACACAGCATTTATTCAATTAAATACGAAAAATTATTATTTTTAATTTAATTAGCTAATTATTTTTAAATACTAAATATTATTAAATGAAGAAATTTAATGACGATAATCATATTTTTTTGTCAATATAACCATTATGATAGATTTGATGGATTAAGAATAGATTATCACAAGTTAAATACAGCCTCAACCTTATAGGTTCAATGTTCATTTGGTATAGCTGCATTAAATAATTCTTTTCTGATCTTATGAAGTCATGTATGCCCTTCAAGTAGCTATCTTTTTCTTCATAAAAGTAGATAAAATTTGAAGATTATTAGGGTAATAAATAACATTCATGTATTAATAAAAAAAAATAATCTAAAGGCAAATATCACTAATGTAAGAAATAATAAGAAGAAACATAGCAATTAACCAATTATATTTTCAAGTAGTTCAGAATCAATGTGATCTAATTTAGATATAGACTCCATTGCTTCCCTGCATTCAAATGCCTGCTGACCAATGAAATTCAAAAGGGTTGGAGTTTCAAAAGCTTTCTGACCAGTAGAATGCAGAGGAGCAACTAAGAGACCATTGGTCATTATAGCCGAACTTATTAGGCCATGCTTCAACGTTTTTCCTTGCTGTTTTTTTTTTATAATATAAATTTTAGGTGTCGATCGAGTTAACAAAATATCATATGTATATGACATATGATATGGTTATTTATTAATTAATTAAATGAAGAGACAAATATTTTTACAAAATTAGAATCACATGGCATATGAATTAAATAAAAAAAAACAATAAATTAGTTAACGAATCAAATTTTTTTACAAATGATTTCGGAGGAAGGCAGCTCGTGGAGTTGGAATTAGAAACAGCTTTGCAGACCTTTTTCGTCTTGTCACAACTACTGGAACGATGCCTCAGCCGGATACTCGAACCACTCCCACCGCTGCTGCTGTTGTTGTTGTAACCGCTATTGAAATATTTCTTGAAATCAAAAAATATTTTGCTCTGCGTTCGTTTCGCACTGCAACTCGAAGGACCAACGACGGATACAGCTGATGTTAGATTTAGAACGACATTGTTCGAGTTGCATTCATCTTTTCGTAGAAACGAATATTCTAGCTTTTCTGCCATGTTTTTAAATTTTTAAGATTAATAAAAAAAATCTAAAAACAAATTTATTTTTTTCATTTAAAGCTTGAAATATTAATTCATTAATTCAATGAGATTAGACATTTAAACATTAAAGCCATGTTTTAAATTTAGCGCTCCAGTGATGTGCTAACATACGGGTCGTACTATTTGACTTCCTTGGATTGTTGGCTTATTGGCTTACTTATGAAAATGCATGGGTTTTAACGAGCAAGCTATAAAAAATATTTATTTGACTCATATATATATATATGAGTATATACATATACTGTACTTTCAATTTAATAACCAATCAATAAATCAACCAACCAACCAACCAATCAATCAATCAATCAATGTATGATAGCGGTTTTTTGTACATATGTCAGAAATTATTATTAGTATTAGAACATGTCAGAACTAGAGTAAACGTCTATCTATTAATATCGTCCAGCCGCTTCCAACGTTCAATCAACTTTTTGTTCGTATTGTCACATGCACTCCTTAGAAGTTCTCGAAGGATAATCATCACGTAACATGAACATTTAGTAAGAACAGTTCACAACATATCTAGCTAATTTATAAACGCTTTTAAATTACAATTTTGCTCGCTTTATATCTATTATATAAATTCATTATAAAAACAACAGTAATAACCATTGCAACATATGTACGCACGCAGTTTAAATTTTTCTGGAAAAATTCAAAGTAGTTTGAGGCCACACCTTGCTTAACATCCAATTCCAAGCCGAGCCAAGCCAATCCGAGCCAATATGCCTAGATTTATAAGCGCTTTTATATTACAATTTTGCTCGCTTTATTTCTATTATATAAATTCATTATAAAAGCACCAGTAATCAGTGCTACATGTTTTCGAAACAAAAAGCAATATTTAAATTGACAAAAATGATTTCAAATTACATAATTCGATTTAATTACAATGTTTTAAACATATTGAGTAAAATTTATATTTAGTACCTATTAGTTGTGTTGTTGAAACCCATGCAATTTCGTAAGCCCACCATGGCTTCTGTAAGCCACTCTGTTTTCTAAACAAAAAGCTATATTTTATTTAAATAATTTAAATTGACAACGATAATTTTATAATTTTAAATAATTCGATTTAATTATATTGTTTTAAAAATTTAAGAAATATTTTTTACTCAAGTAAATCTTTTGTATTAGGTAGTTGTTTGTTAAAACCCATCAATTTCGTAAGTAAGCCAACTAACTTTATTTATTCATATCTGCTGAACATGTAGAATTACAATAATAAATATTCTATATATATATGCTGCTGAAGTAATTAGTAGAAGCTGCTCGCTTGGCTTTATCAACGTGGACCCCAGAGAGACTCAACTATGGCCATTAAATACAAATACATTCTCATCCCACGTAAATATATGCAAACAAACGTAAAAACAAAATTTGTTAATCTGAAAATTTTTAAAAATTGAAAATTTTATTTTGCGGGCAGTTTTTTAAATAACACACTTGAATCCGCACAAACAAAATCCGCAGAGTTTTGAAAATTTTTATTGCGGTTATCCGCTTGGGGCACTAGTGTGTATGTATTTGTTTAGTACTAAATCTCAAATTGTTATGGTTTTAGCTCTAAAATACTCAAGTTAATGGTTCACAGTTTGTTTATTATTATGATATTTATATAAAACACTATATATATTTTTATATAAAACACCATATATATATATATTAAGTTCATTTATTTATTCGTATTTTCCCGGATTATTTTAGCAGTCACGATGAAACAGCTAAATTAAAAGTATTTAAACCAACCATCCCTTCTTTTCGTATCATACCAAAAGTAAAAAAAGTAAAAATCGAATAAAACAGTTTATTAATAACAAAATTGCATCAAATTTTCTCTTTTAGGTGGTAATATTATCATTTTTATCATAATTTTTATTAATTAAAAAATTTCCGCTATTATAAAATTTATTTTAATCATTATTTTCGTATATGTTGGGAAAATTATACAGATCTGTTTGATGAAAAAAAATTAACTTTTAAAAATGCCTTTTAAAATTTAAATGTCCTCAACCAGCTAAGTAATCACTAATTAACTATACTAACTAACCAACTTACTTACATATTACTACATTTACGTAGGAAGTAAAATTACTTAGCCGTTCATTCATCACTAGTTAAATAAATTAATTTTAATAATTTTAATTAATTGTTTTATTTCATCACAATTAAAACTTTTTAAATAAAAAGTAAAAAAAAATTGAGTTAGTGAAAAATCAGAACAGGCAAAACCGGGCAGAAAGATGTCTTGCTCTTATAGTCTAAATGAATCTGTCACAGATGTTGTAGAGAACCACCTGGCCACCATTGAGGAGAGAGAGAAAAAATTAGGATTCAGACCCCAGAAGGAGATAATTTACAATGCACTACTGCCCTACGCCAGCCTTATTGATGAGGAATCTAACACACAGCTGGCCGAGATTAAGGCCCAGTTAGGTAGGGCAATCATACTTAGGGACTTGAAAGTTGCAGGGCTTCATTGGATAGGACAACTGTCAAAGTGAAAAATTTAATTTTTGTTAATTAATTTAATTCTGATTTACTGTAAATGTGTGTGAGTGTGTATATGTGGGAGTTGTATGAATACACATGTATATATATGTATACATGTATGTATGTATGAGTGCATGTGTATGTATATGTGTGTGTGTGTTTTGTATATGTGCATATAGATGTTTATGTGGGGTGTATGTATGTATGTATGTGTGTGCATGTTTTTGAACAATATATAATGAATATGTAATAGTTATAATGATGGTTATATTACTATCATTAATATTCAGATTCCCTTATTAATGATATGTACCACTGATACAAAAATCTACATACATAATGTTAATAATATAATTCCTTATAATTTTTATAATTATCTTTCCATAATAATTATTATTTATAAGACTAAGGAGAAAAATTTCACATAACATACGTAGATATACTAGGCTTAATGGGATGAAGTTTTCTATGGAAGACCACATCAATTTCATAAATTTACTGTTCGAGGTGTTAGTAACCCCAGGCATGGAGTACTCACTGATACAGAGATACGCAACATCGCTGACTACCTTGCTTAGGTAAACTGTAAATTTATCTGGTCTGCAATTATAATCTCCTTCAACAATTAATTATCACTATTTATGATTTAAATTTGCTTTTTACCCACCCCTCTTTTTTGAGAGAAATAAAAATATTCAAATTTGCTTTTAAAAAAGGAAAAAGGAGCTGATACCTCGAAGGATGCTAGTGTTAGATTGGAAATTGTTATACAGATTGATGGAAGGCGCAATCAACAATCGTTACGAGTACAATGGTCTCATCTCCTTACCCGAGTATGTTTATATACTTTTTTAGTTTTTTTTAGTATTTTTTTGAAAGTTTTTCAATCATTATTTTCTTTCTTTTTTTTCTTTTTCAGGAATATTGAAGCAATTTTAAAGAGCCTTATCAAGGCGGCTAGAGTGTGAGTAAATGATGATGGTGATGATGACGATGAGGATGACACACCCACACGCACGCACGCAGCACACACGCACGCACATACACGCACACACAAACATCATTCACAGTTATTTCTCGGTGGACTGCACAAAAGAAATGCTGGACGAATGGAGGCCGTTGATGTGTCCATTTGATACGAGCATGTCCAGGGCTATGTATAATTTTGAGTTGTTCCTACCTACATTGCTATACCCTGAAGAATACGATAGAAGTGTTGGGTTGGTTGGTTGATTGATTGATTGACTGACTGACTGACTGACTGACTGACTGACTGATTGATTGATTGATTGATTTATTGGCTGATTGATTGGTTGATTGGCTAGATGATTGATTGGTTGGTTGCTTGCTTGGATAACTGCTTGATTGATTGGTTTGGCTGGTTTGGCTAAGTGTATTACAACGTCTATGTATACTTACACGAAAGGTTGTTAACAATACTCAAAAAATAGGTGCGTACTTACGTACATGCATACAAACACACACAGACACACACACACTTACGCTCACACACTCACACACACATGCACACACGCACACACATACGTACGTACATAAAACGAAACAGGTTATGGTTTGATGAGTTCATGAGTTTTTATTGCAATTGCGTCAGTTGTCCTCCATGGGAGCTGGTATGTTTGTATGTTTGTGTGTTTGTATGTGTGTATGTATGTGTGCCTAGGTGTGGTTGTATGTATGCTTATATATGTTTTCACAATTTTCAAACTTTTGCATGTAAGTTTGTGTATTAGACTCATTCATTCATTCATTCATTCATTCATTCATTCATTCATTCATTCATTCATTCATTCATTCATTCATTCATTCATTCATTCATTCATTCATTCATTCATTCATTCATTCCAATTAAAGAACATTGTGAACTTGCTGACGAGGTTGGCTCATGATTGTGTTGGATACATTAACTGGGAACCGTATCTAGATCAGGTTATGATGATGACGACGACAACGACGAAGGCGACGACGACGACGATGATGATGATGATTACGTGGTGGTGATAATACTGATGACGATGTACTATAGCCATCATCGTCATCGTCATCATCATCATCATCATCATCAGATCTTCACTAGATTTCTTCGAAGTTTCTGCCTGCCAGTTGGTAGCAAAAAAATGGAAGTGAGTAGGAGTATGGACTGTTACGACGTCAACTACATTGCTCGCTGGATTGTCTACATGCTGGTTGGTTGGTTGGTTGATTCGTTGGTTGATTGATTGATTGATTGATTAGTTTGGTGATTGATTGATTGGATAGTTGATTGGTTGGTTGGTTGGTTGGTTAATTGGCTGGTTGGTTGATTGATTGATTGATTGATTGATTGATTGATTGATTGATTGATTGATTGATTGATTGATTGATTGATTAGTTGAGTGATTGATAAGTTGAGTGATTGATTGGTTAGTTGAGTGATTGGTTGATTGACTGGTTAGTTAGTTGGTGGATTTTTTAGTTCATTGATAGGTTTATTGATTGATTGACCGACCGACCGACCGACCGACCGACTAACGATTTTTTCAGTCTTCCAAGTCTGGCACACAGACCCACATAAGCAAATTAATGAAGGCCCTAGAATCATTCTACCATCCATCCAATCACGGCCAGTGGTCTGTAAGTAATCATTCTTTGTTGGACAATTAATATTAATTAGATAGCCTAACTTATGAATATTCAATGAGCTTGGTTCATGAATATTAACGAGCTGGTTATTTTTTCAATTAGCTAGTCCCTGATGTTAATTTTAGTTATCCGATGAATATTCATATATGTTGTTTCAGAATAAAATGCTCAAGTTCCTATCTAGAATTTCACTGGAATTCGTGAGAAGATTGCAAAAGTGAGATTATTATTATTATTATTATTCATATTTTTTATTATTATTATTGTCGTTGTGGTTATCACCAGAGAAAAATGGCACCCATTAAGAAAACCCCAAGCAGCGGCAGCAGCAGCAGCGGCAGCGCAACAACAGCAACCACAACAGCCGCAACAATCGCCGTCCAACAAATCATTACGACAGCAACAAAAACGGCAGGGTGGCTACGACAATGGCGAGGTTGCTGCATCGTACGACGACAGTTTGACGAAGACCTTTGAAACTCTAGTGAGAGCTGAAGACATTAAAATCACCGTTGATAACATCAGCAGAAATAATGACGACGACGACGATGATGGTGATGGTAGAAATGGTGATGATAGAAATGATGATGGCGATGATGGTAATGGTTATAGTGGTGGTTTTGGGGGTTACGGCAGTAACGACAAAATCAAATCTCAGACTAACGTGCGAGGTAAATTTCGTTTTATAGTTAATTGATGGATGTTAAATGAAATTGTCGCGCGATTTTGTATCATTGTTATCATCATCGTTATTATGACGCACATGAATGCATACACACACATCCATAACTCGCACACACACGCGCACACACATACAGCTTTCTCCCAAAAAAGAAAAACGTGGGAGCCGGAAATTCCCCAGGATGTGCGCCTAACTGAAAGTGACATCACTAATTTCGTCGAATGCCTGTCGCCATCTTTGATGTCGGCCATGTTTAGTAAGAGCGGAAGTGCTGAGGCTGCAAATACGTTTAAAAATCTGGCCATGTGCAGACCGGAGTTGGTCATCCCGCCTTTACTTGATTGGTTGGTTGCTTGGCTGTTCTGTTCAGTGTGGTCAGGTTTTGATTGGTTGGTATTTTTTAGTGGAGAGCGTTGATTGGATGGTGATTTTGTTGCATAGAGAACGTTGATTGGTTGGTGATTTTTTTGTATGGAGAGCTGTGATTAGATGGTGGTTTTGTTGAATGAAGAACCGTGATTGGACGGTGGTTTTGTTGTATGAAGAACTATGATTGGACGGTGGTTTTGTTAAATAGAGACAGTTGGTCGGTCGGTCAGTTGTTGACTGGCTGGTTGAATGAAGACTGTTGATTGGTTAATCGTTTGGTTGACCATCATTGCCCTCATGTTAATAACGATGGAGATCATCATCTTCATCGTCGCCACCGCCACGCAACTCAGGACTTACGCGGCTTTAGAAACTCTGACGGAACCACACAGACTGATATCTTGCCTGCAATGCACAAATTCTGTCATCAGGTTGGTAGGTAGTTGTGATGATGACGAGGATGATGATATGATGAGGAGATATTTAATTGGATGATGAACATTATAACGAAACTCACTCACACACAGACCTATACACACAAACAGACAGACACACATGCCACACACACACACAGACACACACATATACACACACATACATACGCACACACAGATCTATGATGATATATTGCGAGAGATATCCCGAAGGAAGGCTCCATGTTATCCCACTCCTGAGACTCGTACTGCCCGGGATCGATCCCAACGATATCAAGAAAAGCCTGGTGAGATGATGATGATGATGATGTTATTATCTTTATGTCCATCTTGTTCATTAATTTCAATTTCTCAGCTATCTTCATTAACATTGTCATCATCATCGTCGTTGTCGTCATTACCACCATCATCATCATCAGATGACCTTCCAGTTAATAAGCATGTTGGTCTCCCTCCTACCAATAGTGGACTCGTCCAACGCCTCCGAATACTATCCAAACTTAACGGAGGTTGTCACAATATCTCGCGCCATTTTTCCTAAATTATTGGGCACGTGTATAAATGTATGGCACGTATTTCAATTCAATTCAAAAAATCTTCTATCCAGCAAAATACATTAGCAGGGAGGGAGAGAGAGCCGAAGTTTACACTTGTTGGGCCACCCTATCAAGATATTGCAAGAACATGCGTAAAAGGAAAACCTGATGTAATCAACGTGACATAACGCAGATTGAATAAAACGAATGATAAGAAACACACACAAAAAAAACAGAAACTGCAATAGTTAAATAGTAAAAAATGAAAAGTGATCGTTCAAAATTAACTTATAGACGAATTTCTTGAAAGAACTAAGCGGAGGCATATATATATATAATATATATATATAAATAATATATATATATATTATTTTATTATTATAAGAATATAATTATTAATATTATAAGCACGAAAGGGAGCTGTGTTCTGCAACGTCTGAGTTTGAAGGTGTCGTATTGCTCTTCTTCGACAGGTCGGTTTATTGTTGTTATTATTATTATTATTGTTGTTGTTGTTATTATTGTTGTTGTTGTTGTTGTTGTTGTTGTTATTATTATTGTTGTTATTATTATTATTATTGTTGTTGTTGTTATTATTATTATTGTTGTTGTTATTATTATTGTTGTTGTTATTACGTCATCATCTACGTCAGGGTGATATCGTTGATAGAGAGCAGTAGCCATCAGCACACGAGAACGGACAGTTCCGCCCAGCACAGGATGTCAACTGAAGAGGTTTGCAATAGTGATGATGGTGATGACCATGATGGTGATGACGACGATGATGATGACGATGATGATGATGAATATGGTAATGATGATTATGATGATGGTGGTGATGATTATGGTGGTAATGATGATGATTGTTGTTGGTGTTGTTATTGTTGTTATAGTTGTTATAATTTTTTTGTTGTTCTTGTTGCTATTATTATCTTGTTGTATTGGAAGGTGACCTTGGAGTTGTGCGTCATATCTAGCTCCAACGCCATACTCTCACAAACCTCACTGCCTATCTTCCAAGTTTGTTGATTGATTGATTGGTTGGTTGGTTCATTGATTGGTTGGTTGGTTAGTTGATTGGTTGGCTGGTTAGTTGATTGAATAATTGGTTAATTGATTAATTGTTTGATTAAATGATTGAATGTTTTGGTAATAAATTTATTCATGTTATTTGTGACAGTAAATTTCCTTTTATCCGTTCGTTCATTCGTTCATTCTTTATCTTCATATGTTTGTCCATCTATCCATCAACTCATTCATTCATTCGCTCAATCTTCAATTTTGTCATTCTCTCTCTCTCTCTCTTTTTCTCTTTTTTTCTTTTTCTTTCTCTCTCTCTCTCTCTCTCTCTCTCTCCTAGGAAGTGTTGAAGAAGATTCACAATTTCGCCATCGGATCTGTGTTCGAGATCAAAGTTGCTGGAAGGTTCGCCTCCAAACTGGTAAAGGCGGCTGTAAAGGTCGGTATCTGGACAGGAAGGGCCCACCTCATTAACATAATTTGTCAATTTATGTTAATTTTTTAATTTATTCTGTACGGTCCTTGAAGGGTATTTACATATTTAGTTGTTGCAGGTAGGTCACGCGTTTTTGTCACTGTCCTATGTAAGTTAGACTAGCCCATACAAATGACATTGTTGTACCAAATTTTAACAGTTTGAAATTTATTAAAATATATTTGGTTGGCTAAATAAGGTATTAATAATTTTAATAATTTATGTTGGCTATTGATTACTACCACTACTAATAATAAAATAATAATTTATGTTAATTAGGCTCAGCCCCGTTTGACCCTTGCCAAGTTCATGCCCCACTGCTCTGATTTGATCGTCAAGAGACTGACAGGTAGTTCGGAAATGATGATGATGTTTTGAATTGATGATGATGATAACAATGAGGTTATTAAAACGAATGATGGTTATGATGGTGACGATTATGATGATAATATTGATGACGACGATGATGATGATGGTTATGATGATCATGATTGTCACCAGCGGAGGATCTGTCTAAGGAAGAGCATGTAGATAATGAGATACTCTGGCATCTCATGATCATCTCCGAGGTTTTATTCTTTTATTTACTCATTCGTCCATTTATTCATTCATTTATTCATTCAATCTATTATTTATTTCTTTTACAATTTTCATTCACTTATTCATTTTATTTGTCCAGCTTTTCTGCCATCATAATCTACCTATTTATTTGTTCATTCGTTTCTCATCTATCTATCTTTTTATCAATACATTCATTCATCCATCTATTTGTCAATCTATTTATTTATCTATTAGTATCTTAAGTTATATATCTACCCATCTATCTATCTATTCATCCGCAATTTAAGATATCTTCCTTCAACGGCCTTGAGTTAGTGAAGTTCAGGGACAACATCCTGAGCATCCTTGACCTTACTTTAGAGTTCAAGTGTAAGGAGGTTATTGAACTCTCTGGCATTTTGTTGCGTAACGTTCTCTGGGCGCTTAGCTCCATATACGCCCTGGATTTTAGGTGCACTGTTCGGGATTGGGACCAGCATGTCAAGGATTTCTTGCCTATTAATGTCGGTTTGATTGATTGATTGGTTGGTTGGTTGGTTGATTGATTGATTGATTGATTGATTGATTGATTGATTGATTGATTGATTATATTTTAATTTTATTTTAATTTTTATATATTTTAATTTTAGTATAATTTTAATTTTATTATAAACATTTCATTTCATAACTCCTAATTCGTTCAAAAATGTGTTTTTTTTGTATTGAAATATTTGCACAACGAAGGTCTGGGGAAGGTCGTCCGATATTTATAATTTGGGCATGAAGTGGCACGAACCGACGGACACTGAGAAAGAGTTCGTGTCCGAAATACTGCAAAGATACATGATGAGACAACTCGAGAAGATTAAAAATTATTGCTCTGCGAACGATTCCGATATGGAGAGGTTAGGTTTTGATTTGTTGATTGATTGGTTGGTTGGTTGATTGATCGATTGGTTGATTGATTGATTGGTTGGTTGATTGATTGATTGGTTGATTGATTGATTGGTTTACTGATCGATCTCTTATTGCTTGAGTGTTTTATCAATAGGCTTATTTGTTTTATTATTTAACTTTAACTAAGTATTCAATCAATTAACTAACAAACCAATTAACTAACCAATCAATCACACCAATCAACCAACCAACAATCAAACTAACCAACCAACCAACCAATCAACCGACCAATCAGAGAAGAACTCCAGAACCGACTGAACATCATCGAGCATTGTGTGTTTGGGGCTTGTTCCCTCCTACCCGCTTGGGAGGATGAAGCCGTTAACCTGTTAGTAGTAGTAGCAGCAGCAGTAGCAACAGCAGTAGCAGGAGTAGTAGCAGGAGTAGTATTAATGGTAGTAGTAGTAGTAGTAGTAGCCACAGCAGCAGTAATTGTAATAGCTGCAATAGTAGTAATGGTAAACTTCGTTTTTATTCAAGGGTTTCAAGTCCTGTCGCTCTGACGAGATTCTCTGCCATAGCTGGCAACGATAATAAAGGTAGCAGTAATTATAATTACAATTGTAAATATTATTATAGTTATTTTATTATTATTATAATTATTATTCGTAATTATTTTAATTAATTAATAATTAATTAACGAAGGTATCGTTATTGATGGTAGAAATGTGAGGGTACTGGTGACAGAGTGTATCAGGGAGCTGCTGAGTAAGTTTGCGTGATGACGACGATGATGATGGCGATGTATCTTGTCTCACTATCTCTATCTGTATCTCTATCTTTATCTCTATTTATATCTCCATCCTTATCTCTATCTGTATTTTTATCTGTATCTCTATTTGTATCTTTATCTGTATTTCTGTCTGTATTTCTATCTGTATCTGTATCTTTATCTGTATCTGTATTATTATCTGTATCTCTATCTGTATCTCTATTATTGGTGACGATGGTTATGGTTTTGGCGAGCGACAAGATGACGGTTGATGAAGATTGAAGGACGATGATGGTGAATAGGACGACGACGACGACGGTGATGATGATGATGATGATAAAAATGATGAAGCCTGGTGATAATAATGATAATGATGTCGCTGATGA